AAAAAAAAAAAAAAAAAAAAAAAAAAAAAACAAAGAAGTTTTTCTAACCAATCCGTTTTCTTTCCTTTCATCTATATAGTTGCCAAAACAACAGATTATAACCACTGAGTTTTACTAGCTTAACGTTGGTCAAGCTGACTGCCTCATTAATCCAACTACATTTGTCCGAAGTACATCCAAGTAATTCTGGTAGGCCATCAGAAAGTGGTAAAAATCAATGAAACTAAATCAACAGGCTAGCATTGGTTTACTGAAGTTGAAGCATCAGGAAAGAAGCCTGAGAACAGAGTTTTTAGAAAGTGCAACAGTGCGAACAGCTTCGTTAGGCAATGCGCCATTTTTTTTTCTGCTCATTCCCGGAGGGCGCCAATTTAAAATGCCGAGAGCAAATAATAACAGTAATAACAATCAGTGTCCCGATCGTTTTGTTTTCCTTCTTATACGACATTTCTGTCGCCACTGTTCACCGCGTAGCACTGTGTTCACCGGCTTCAACTTGGGCCATTTAATTATCCCTTATTTTTTTGTCATCTAAAATGACATCTATTTGCTGCTTTTTTTTATTAAACAACTCGTTAATGCTTAATCGTTTTTGATGCTGACACATTTCATCTGCCAGCCATCTGTTCGGTATGCTTATTACTACACTTGACAACCTACTGCTATCACTATGTCCACTGATTCAACCTTAGCTGCATGTTAGGCTAGAATTGTTCTTCTGTTTCTTTCTAACTTCAACCCAAAATTTGCAACCTCCTAAAACTGATAGATATCTATTTTTTACCATCAGTTAATAGTAACCATTTCTAAAAGAATGCTGAAATCTGTGCGTTAAAATAACCACAGCCACATTACTGTGATGACTTTTTTTTTTTTCTTGGAACATTCAATATTGTGAGACACCTTGGTAGTAAAGACCAAAAAACTATTATTCCATTGGCTAACTTCTAAAATATCCTCACTTACTTAGTAGGCGCTATATAGAATGATCTTTAATCTCTGTCCACTTATATAAGTATGAAAAACCATTTAACTTAATTGAATAAGCAGAAAAAACTGTCTGGAAATTAATTACAGATGAATTTCAAGCAGCATTATTTATTGATTTAACAGAATAATGAAATTATAATGAACTTTTAGAACAATGTATGTAACCAACGATGAGTAACAAACGAACAGAATTGAACTGAAAAGATACGGAACGGTAACAGAGAACACATATTTTAGCAGCTGAAAAACGACCGATATGTATATTTGGCTGAGGCAAACAGAACAGTAAATGATTACCTTTCATATATAACACGTTTGACAGGCAATACAGTCACAGATTTGTTTTCTTTTAATTCTTTAGAAAAGAAAAATAGAATAAAATAAAAGTAAACTATTGTTCCATTAACCTGTTACTCTTTTCCTCCGCTATTGTTTTACTTATAATACTTCTTTTTTTTTTTTTTTAAATTTTATTTTTCTTTCTCCTTTATTTCCCATTTACAAAACAGTTTTTAGTTATTACAGTCAATGACTGTTAGAACTCTGTTAAAAACTTTTTTTTTTGTTTAAGCTTATAATTGTAATTTATTTTTAATAAACTTTTTTTTTTGCTCAAGTGTTTTCAAGGAAATTTTAGTGTAGTAAAAATATGCAGGTAAATAGGTAGAATGAATCTGAAATAAAAACTATTTGATGCGATATGTAAATAATGAATGCATCGTTCAGCCAGTGTCGTCAACTTATGCCTCTACATAAACAGATTGAAAGATGTCTGTGAAAAATAAAACGATGAGGGTAACAGCGATAAAACTTTGAACAGTAAACAAGTAAAATTTTAGCCATTCCATCTAATGACAGTTACATATTTTTACATCTTCTAATAATATATTTTGTTGTAAAGAGAGAGGAAAAAAACAGGAAAATAAAGGAAAGGGGAGAAGTTTAGATCAGATTACAAGAAGCTAAAAAGAAATGAGAAAAAGAAAATCGAAAAAATAAATAAATAAATAAAAGGAAGCAACAACAGTGCTATAACTAAGAGTGCAAAAACAAGGAGTCAAAGAGCAGTAACTATTGTTGCTGTTAGAATTGAATCAAAAAAAACTAAAAAAAAACACCTTTTTTCTCCAACACTAACTGTTTCGATTCGAAAGTGGTGACAATGAGGAAAATTCAATGTAATTTTATGTTGTAGTAAAAATTTAATCGTTAATCGATGTCTCCAACAGAATGATAGATCTGTTGAAAACATTCAATTCAAAAACATCGATGATCACCGGCGACTATAAGTTTGCTTTGTGATGACTGAAACGAAAAAAAATTTTGAGTTTGGAAGCAAAAAAAAAGAAAATCCATTTTTTTTTTTTTTGTAATGACCATTAATAATAGCGGTAAATGAAGAAGTTAACTGAATGAATAGATTTTGATAAATAATAGTGGGCAAAACACAGTTAAAGCTGCCGTCTCTGTAAAACGCCTAAATAGATAGGTCTAGATAGTCCGTGGGATCGATGGATTAGATGGATGAATGAACGGATGGATGGATGGATGGATGGATGGATGGATGAATGAACGGACAAATTGGACGGATGGATGTTGATTTTTAGCGTTTAGCCAAATGCTGTTTGGGGTTTGTTTGGCTTAGGCTTTTTGCCGATCGATACGTATACAGAGATAGGAATTTGGGTTAGTTGACATGTCAAATGGAGTGGAGGAGTGGAATCCATTTGGTGGTAGTGGTGGTGGTGCTATATAACAACGGCAAACAACAACGACCAACAAATGGCCTAACGCTTATCGTCACCGATCAAAACCATTTCAGTGAAATTGCTTTTATCAAGAAAAAAAAAAAAAAATAAAAGGAAAAAGAAAATTATTCTGAAAAGTTCTATTCATCTTTTATTTTTCAATGATCGTCTAATACACTCTTTTATAACCAACAACTTCAACAATTTCACTCATTCAATCAACAATGTTTTTCTAAATTTATTTAAAGAATGAAAAAAATTTTTTTTCTTTTTACTAAACAAATATTTTTCAATGATACAATTTAATACAGTAACAGCTATACAACTTTTATGGGAAATTTATAAACATTTTTGATTATTTAATAAAATATAGATACAGTACATAATGTAAGTTTTAAAGATTTTTTTTTTTTGCTTATTTTGTAAAAAGTTCAATTTTACTCAAAGCTTTCATACTGTATGGATTTTGCTGGTATAAAAGGTATAATCTAGAAGAACAGAAAAAAAAAAAACAGAAAATTCAAAGAGCAAGGAAAATTAGAGCACAGCACATATCAACTGAAGCATATTTTGTGATTGTAGTGTTTGAACCAAATAGCGGAAATCAAGATTTTTTTAACAGTAATAAATATGTTAAGGTTTTGTATTTTTTTTTTTCGTTTATCCACATGAATAATAATTAACTGGTCAATGATCATTCAAAACCATTGCTCTGTTACCACCTATTGCAATTGTTGTGATCTGATTTAACATGTTGAAGGGTCATGGTTATTTATAACAAATATGATGACCTTTGAACATCAATTTTTGATGCTTAACAACGGTTACGCATCCTTTGAAATAGCATTAACTCTAACCCTGCTGGGTTATGAGTACCAAATTCAATTGCTATTACTTCTGGATTACAGTTAATATACTGCTGTTTCTTTAGCTATAGTTTTTGGTTGGTAAAAAAGAAGACAGTGTAAATGAATGGGTAAAGACTAGTATCGACAACACTACGGCTATATGCTATATGATAGTGAATAATTTTTGCTATTATCCTTTTCAAAAACTTGTAAATTGTTTGTTCCAAAATTTTGATTCTAAATATTTATCCGTT